ATTTTCAACAATTACAAATGGATATATAACGCATGAGCTAAAATAAATGGCATATTTTTATTTCGTCAATATCTCACTTAGTTCTAATCATAGAGAGCTGATGTTAGACTCAATAAATAGCCTTTTTAATTCTGTATAAAACAAAGTCAAAATACAAAAACAAGAATATTCAATAGATTCAAGATAGGTAACTTTCTAAACTGAAAAATCGTTTTCTATTTTTTGCTGAATAACGATAACAAAAATAAAGTAATATAGACATTTTGTAGTCATTGAAAATCTCTATCGATCGACCAGTCGTAATTTGAAAATTTTATATTATTTCTTATATCTCTTTCAAATAAATTTTTTATATCTTGTCGCTTTTCTATTTGACTGTGTCAACTATAATTTATTCAGAAGATCGATCAATAGATACACGAAGTTTTGATTTATATGAAGAGCCTTTAACTGGTGTACGGAAGTTTTTGGTTATTTCTTAATTCTAGAAAAACTTATGCATAATGGCTCTTTTAGGCACTTAAACTTGCATTTAATAGGATTAGCGTCGCTTTTTTCAACATATACCAAACTGATATTCTATGAAAAGACTATCTAAGAGTCAGAGAATTCAAATTAATTAAAACAGACATGTTGTACAATGTTTTTGTGGAAAAAGAAACTGATGAAAGGACTGTAGTCCATAGGACTTGAACTCTATCCTAATTTAATTTTTCAAAACCTCATATTTTATTTGATGCATCTATTCATTTAATGTTAATTAATTTATTTAAATCAGTATTAAAATAAAAAATAATCATTTATTTTGTTGCACGCTTTTTCTCTCGTAAAGAGAAAATCTTAGTCAATTCTCAGATTTTTCGAAAATGTTGAAACTGCTGAATAAAATTTAAATTTCTACAAATGCCCATATTTATTCATCTTTGATTGTTCATTTAAAAAATCGAATTTATTATTTTCATTCTTTTCAATATCATATTGTTCAGAAAATAGAAATTTATCTATCAATACATATAAACAGACTGAGGATATTCTTTCTTATTCTCTATAAATTATTTTGAAATATACAGCGTAACAATTTATTTACGTACCGATATGGTTTTAGATAAAATTGTCATATTAAAAAATTTTAATTTAATTTTTTTCATTGTTGTTGTTATTTTGTTTACAAGGACGTTTTGGATGCACTTTTATGTTCACCTTTTATCTTTGTAATCTACGGACATTTTTTTTTTGATAGACAGCAATTATTTTTGCGCATGATTTTTTTCCTTCATACGCAAACGAATCGATTACTCATCAAA